AGCAAAGCGCAAAATACGCCACCGTCCAGTGAAAGCGAAAACACAAATGCAATACGGTTTACGAATACTTTTAAGTAGGAAAGCATATACCCCCCCTTCACGTTTCTCCTAACTGGGACATAAAAATAATCCCCCTTCTTCCCAGCCTCGTGCTATGGAGTGTACCGTTTACCTGAGTAGCACCTTCGCTGTCATACTGCTTTACTGTTTGGGGCTTTTTTCCTCAAAATAAAAGGTGTCTAACACACAAATCGAAAATGTTGTGTGTTATTTATTGGCAATTGATGATTGCCAGAAAGATGGTGCTTTCACAGCAATGTTTCCAAAGGCAGTCTTTTAGTTATAATGAATTACATTGTCGTCAATGTAGTATTAAGTCATTCAAATTAACATTAAATTGGCCTGACAATACTGCATGGACTTCATATCTTTAATTTATCCATTGTCAACATAAGACAATTCCATACTCCGTACTGGGGTACTCTCTGCATTACAACACGCACTCACACAAATACACACTGCACCGTGTTAGATTTAGTTCTGAGATTATAAAATCTTCATTAAATCTATCTTATAAAGTGTTTATAGGTATTTTTTCAGCTTCCAGAGAGTAACCCAAGGTTATGCACTTTTTTTTGCACAAGGCAATCTCACAACAGGAAACTAATCTTGACAAATGACCAGACTTTGATATCTGTGATCTAAAACACTGCTCATTAGACTGTTCATTTTATAAACGAATGGTAATAAACCTGTTGAGAAGTGTAGGATAGCAGGAATACTTTACAGATCACCCCTTTACAGGTTTCAATCAAAGCCATAAATTTGAAGGGGAGCATGCAGATATTCTGTGCTAAGACAAAGACTCTGTCCCACACCAACCACATTTAAAGAAATATTTCTTTTGCTTTCTATACATTTTACAAATAATTTGCATAACTCTGACTTTTTACCCCCATGGCTGATTATCTCCAGCTCTCTTAAGTTAATGTCAAACCTCAAAATCCTTGGACTTGTTAAAGTATGTGGAGAGTGGAAATCAAATGCCTTTATTAGAAGCCCCAGGAAATCTCCGACTCCTAAGCACAACGAAAACATTCCAAAGAAAATTGTTCAAAGAGGACAAAGGAGAAAAGCAGAACAAGAAAACCTTGTTTTGAATCAACGATTGCAAGAGTTTTATAAATAAATTCTGTTGCCTGGACAATTTTGAAAGACAACTCAATAGGTTTAGGAGTTTTTAAGTGTGTTTGCCTCTATGCCTGAAACACTTGGGGGATTCAGCTGAGCTAAAGCTTGGAACAATGGCCTGTCTGTCCATCTGAGTATTTGTAATAATCGCTGTGAAGCAACTTTACAGTACTAGATAGTCAAAAAATCTTCACCAGCTAAAACTGTGTGAACTTAACAAATTCATTTTGCATATATATTAGGGGCAATGAAAACACTAAGACATGTGGTCCTGTCTTTAAACAGTAGATGAAAATGTTCACCAGCGGAAGAGGCCATAAAGATTTTATTTGTTAGGATATCCCTGTGAAGTCAGGCTGAATCAGTAATCCTTAGAAACAACCACAGTTACATGATCCATTGTGCCTTCCTGCATGGGCACAACCATCTGGTGTTTAATACGTACTACTGATTTATTATCTCTCGCGTAGTTATCTTGCAGTAAGTTTGACCCTGCTATGCTCCTGAGAATCATGGTTCTGCTGTTTACTCTTCTGATGTCCTGACAACCCACCCTTTACCTTTCCATTGCTCACCCAGGTCCTTCATTTCCTCCTGTCTGTGGGCAAATAGATTTTAATTGTTTTATTATAACTAATTTAATCTGTGCTGAGAGATCTCCATGTGCAGTGTGAAATTTGCTGTTCATATTAAGTGTGGTTCAAGAGGTTTGTTATACAGGACAGAGGTATAAAAATAGACTAATTCAGTCAGGTTGTTTATTTACTGGACCTCTGCCGTGAAGCAGTAAATAGGAAGTTATTAAGCCATGTTTGATATATGCAAGAGGACAGATGCTGCTGTCTATGTATCAGAGATGTTAAATCATTTTCCTTTCTGTGTTATCCTGACATTATGTGTTGCAAGAAACCACAGCAGATACCTGGCTTTTCTTTAGTTAATAAATATGCAAAGATGGTGGTCACAAGCTTTTGTAAATATTGTAGGTATAGTCTCTAGCTCTGACGCTTTTC